TATGTATGTGTGCATGTGTGTATGTGCCCATGTATCGATGCACCTATGTACCTGCCTATTTATATCTTTATGTCCATATGTCTCTGTGCCTCCATGCCGCTATGTCTTTATGTATCTATCTTCTATCTACCTACCTAGCTATCTATCTGTCTATTTATCTGTCCATCTATCCATCTTAGATCAATCCATCTATCTAGCCATCTATGTATATATGTATCTATGTATCTAGGTATCTATGTATGTATGTCTGTCTGTATGTATGTATGTATGTATGTATGTATGTATGTATGTATGTATGAATGCGTGTGTGGCTGTATGCACGGACAATGGATGGATGGATAGATGGATAGATAGATAGGCAGATATATGTGTGTATACATATATATATATATACAGACATGCATATACTCACGTATCCTATATGATATATACGTATATACACAAATATTTATAAGTATAAGTAAATCAATATATATATATATATCTTTCTCTCTCTCTCTCTCTGCTTGTCTGTCTGTCTCTCTCTGTCTCTCTCTCTCTCTCCCTCCCCCTCACTCCCTCCCTCACTCCCATTCCCTCCCCCCGTGCGAACAGACGTGTTCGCACCTTGAGCTTTGGAGGCTCGCCCATGAGCTGCAGCAAGAGAAGATGGCGCAGAAAGCCATGCACGACTGGCAAGAGCAGTTGAAAACAAGATTGCTGCAGCTTCGGGAGAAGTCGCAATTGATGCTTTGTCGAAACTGAGCTCTCCTGGTGTACTGCAGGCCTAGCTCGTTTGAAGGTGAGTGCTTCTTTGCCTGTTCCAAGGAATGATGCAATGAACAGCCTCGTGCTGCATCTTAAGAACGAAGGCTTGACAGAGGCGCCACGAGGGATGCAGCTTCAGTTGGAGAATTATGCGAACCTGGTTGCTAGAAGCCATAGGTTGCAGGATCGGGCTGAGAAGCCTAGCCGAAGATTCGTCTTCCACTTCGTCTTCTGAATCTTTTGCTCTGGAGGGCGAGCTTTTCGCCAAGATTGATTCTGACGGCGACGGGGAGCTCAGCCGCCAGGAGCTTCAGGCAACTCAAAGAACATGCGAACGAACGGAACATGGCTGGTGGGCCCAAGTTCCGCAGTTTGGCATTCGCTTGTAAGGCTGTTGGGTAATTGCTGTAATTGCATTGCTTGGCACTCCCTGCAGTTTCCACTGCACCAGCAACCCGCTTTTCGCTTAAGGCTTCAGGCTCTCCCTTGTTTATCCGGCAGGTAGCTCTTCGCAGATTGGGTGTCGATCTGACAACGACCGAACTCGATGGCATCCTTCGCATTTTCGATGCCGATGGTAGTGGCTCTATCGCCGCTTGGGGCGATAAGCGAACGCGCTCAGAAGTAGGCCCGTTTCACATGTTTTTTTTCGGGGTCCAACATGGCAGCCCAGGACTTCGCAGAGTTCTATCACCTGCAGCTTGGATGAGCACTTGTAGCGCAGCTTGCGTCCAATGCTCCCAGATTGGCCGTTTGTTCTGCAGTCAGTATCCTCTCTGTATTTTTTCGGTGGTGCCCTCAGGCTGAAGTCTCAGGAGGCTCTGCTTCCACCAGACTTCGCCACTTCAGCTGCATTGGCTAATCTTACGCTGTGCAGACTCTGGCAGTGCTTGGCGAGGTCCCGCATGATGTGGGCAAGAAGAAGGATCCGTACCTGGGCTGATCCTAGGCATCTTGGGCAGCTGCCGTCGCTGGTAGATGTTGGTAGTATTAAACAGAGCGACCATGAATCCAGAAGGACAGCGTATGGCAACCTAATGGATCAGTGGCTGTCCTCATGTGCAGCCTGCACCGTCCGCCGAGGTTGCATAATTTCGAGGCTGGTGATCGGGTGCGGCTTCACATCTGTATGTCCAACCGTGTTTCTGCCTCAGCCAAGGTCCGTGATAGGTATGGTACCATTATAGGTGGCAGGAGGGCACACGAGCTGCATGGAAAGGCGGGTCTTTGCATCATCACTCTTGGGCTGAGGCCTTGCATTTTGATGAGCACGATGAGTCCAACAAGAACCTGCATGGCAAGATCGTGGGTCCGGGAACGCGAAAGGGAACCCTTCTCATGCAGCACCTCAGCTGCAGCTGCGCTCGCAGAGACTCCCATGGACGTCTGAACTGTACTTAGGTTGGAGGAGAGTGACTGTACGCTGCTTGTTAAGCCAAGGCCGCATGTTCAGAAACCCTTCAGTATATCCCGCAATATTTGCCTTTGTGTTCTGCATCAGAGATTCATTGAAACGGTGGAGGCAAGTCTCGAAGACGAGATCACACACCCTGACCAGGGCCAGGACAAGTGTTCTTGACTAGCCTTGCGCACCTTTTGCTTCGAATGTAGAGTTCTCCAGTGCGCCACAGCACTGGAGCCCGATGGTGCCTGCAATGCGCAGTTTCCACCATCGTGAGTCATAGTGTAGCTTCATTTCTTTGCCATATTAGCTTGCTCAGGTGCCCGGTAACCGAGACTGAACCTCGAACCACCATTATAATGTAGATCCAGTAATTAGTGCGCAGTGTGCCAGTGTGCATCTTTGAAACGGGGAGCCTCGAGCTTCTGGCCTGTGGGCATCAGCGCCCACGGCAACTTTGTGCCGGAGTAGGAGCCGAGGTTTGAATAGCCGGCACGATCATGGCTCCAATGTGTTTTGGAAGTCTGAGTTTCTATGATCGTCGGACAATGCCCATCCCGTGGCGGAATATTTTCCACTGCAGACTCCGAATTCGGTACGGCTAGCATAGCTCTGCGTGGCTCTGTCGACGCGGGAGCTGAAGCTGAACTGGCTTTTAGCCAAAGCACCCAAGGTGTGTGTTGGCCTTGGAGACGTGGACTTGCTCAAACGGCCTTCTATGTGCCGAGGACGTTCCATGAAGCAAAGGTTTGGCATGGAGCCAAGCTGTCGCGTTTCCAAGAGCGAACTTGGCCTCCGGAATTACTCAAAGGAGTGCAGGACAAGGTCTCGTGAGAAACTTCATTGCTGCTATCAGATCAGTAGTATTCAAGCTATTTTCTGATTCCATACCAGCAACACGATTCGTTTTGGCTCGATTTGAGTCCTTGCCCGGCATGCGCCAGAACCAGGGGTTCGGTTTCCTCCGGCTTTCCCACAGCAGGGAATCATGTAGTGCCAGTCTGAATGGCCTTTGTTTTGTGTGTTGTCGATGGGAGCAGGAGTCGTCGGGTTGAGACCACGATGACCTTCTCGAACCATTGCGCGGAAACTTAAGTTACTCAAGGACTTGAAACACGGTGAGCAATGTCATGGGTCTTGGAGGGACCAAACGCTCGTGAGGGCAGCATGTTTCTAAGCAGGCTGCGATTCGCTTCCTGCAGAATCGTTTCACCTTGACCCAGGACCTTTGAGCTTAGGCCGAACCAGTGACTAGAGTGGCATGATCCCTAAGGGGTCAGGCCCGTCCAGGATCATAGGATCCGTCGTTGACGGATGTGTCACATGTTCGCGTGATGTTAGACTCTTGAGAAAATGGTTGACGCTGCATGGAATGCTATTGCCCCGATCCACATGTATCCTGTGAGTTGCAGTTGCGTAGACCGAGGTTGAAAGTGAGGAGGTATGGCGAAATGGCAGACTGGCTGGAATCCCAGCAATGTTAGCAACTGAAGCAGAAGGAGTAATGGCTTGGAGAAACTCTAAACAAGACAGGTGAAGGAATGCACGCTGCCGCGGGATCGAAGTCAGGTCAGAAGAGGCTGAATCAGCTGAGCAGAGGCCTCGACAAACATACGAGTGTCCAACGGGCAGTTAACTAACGGACGCATGGCACACTCAGAGCAACCTAACGTGGACAAGCACGCAACAGCAGAAGGCAGGCGGCAGGGAACCGAGAATCCAACAGAAGATCTCGAGGCTCTGCCCAGATCTCGGCCACGTAGAGAAGAAACATGCAAAGGGCAACTAAAGTCACCACAAGGACACGCAAGAAAACACCCGAAACCAGGATGGCCTCTGGTTGGCTTCCCTTGCCAGTGCGCAAGGTCTTGCGACGGCTCAGCCGCGTGTGCCTTGTCCTTTGATGCTTGACAACCTGGAAGAGGAAGATGATCGCTGTCCGCGTTCGGATCGGTGGATGCTGGGTACGATTCAGTCCTGCCCCGTCCGAAGCTGTCTTGAAGAGGTGCCTCGAGATTTTCGCGACGCGCCAACATGTTCGTCACTCCACTTTCAATCGCTTCAATGACAAGTCAGTTGCGGACAAGCTTGTGACAGTGCCCTTGCAAGTGCCGCCCGTCCTGACTCTCAGTCCCGTGAGACTGAAGGAAGTTCACGCCGACCGGTGTGGATGGCCGTGTCGCAACCGGTCCGTGACATGTCCTGCGCCCTCACGGACAGTCTGAACGAAGTGGGCTTTTTGCAGACATGACATGTCCTCCGTCCTGCAGTCCCTCCCTAAGCCAGATCGGTGGGCGCAAACCTCCCGACAGCCATTCGCACGCATGCTTCTTTGCCGCCAAGTTCGCAGCCTGTCGGTTGCCTCTGTGTGCCCTCCTGCTTCCGGTACTGACGAGACTATGTCCGGTCGTGCTGCTTCTTGTTGCGGTCAAGCTTTTACGGCTCAATCTTTCCTTCACAAAAGGGACTAAACCTTCGGTCTTCGTCCGTCCCAGGTCTCACTGTCTCGGTGCAGACCTCCGGACCTACACAACGGTCAAAAGCAAGGGAACTAACGGAGTAGTCCAACCGAGTTTAGTCGGATGTATATGACGCAACGGCAACTGCCCTCCTGCCGACGTTGGCTCGAAGCGGTCGGTTGCACTTTGACTACGACGGACTTTTGCCTCGCTGACCTCCGGCAGTCGCCTGTGGCCTTTCGTCGGTTGTCCGTCCTTTACATTCGAGCTCCGTAGACTTCCGCACTTCCACGCAACGGTCAAAGTCAAAACGAAGGAAGTTGTCCGCTGCCTTGCAAAGTTCAGGATTCGACGGATTCAGGTTCCCAAATCTTCGCTGCAAGTGGGAGTTGAGCGTGCCAACGTACACCGTTGAGATGGTATGTGTGTGTGTGTGTGCGTGTGTGCACGCTTGCGTGCGCGTGCAGGTTGGCATGCATGTCGGTGTAGGCAGGCTGCAAGAGTCTTGCTCAAAGGGTCTGGGCCTCCGGCTCAGGTCGAATCACGGCGGGGAGGTGCGTTCACTTCCTTCAAGGCTTTTGCCTCAGTCAGGTCACGGACGACCACACAATTTGGAGTAGCGGCAAGGCAACCAACCACCCTCTCGCTGCAGAATGCAAGCTGTCAAACGTTTCAGGCCCGACCCAACATCCCAGCTCCAAGTCTGGCTTGTTGGAGTGTACTAGCAATATCTCGTTGGATAGTCATAAGCACTTGCAAAAACAGCAAGGAGCGTATCATGCAACAACCGGAAAGTGTTGGTTTGCAACACATTTCAGGAAAAGAGGAGTGGAACCATTGCAATGTGGCCTTGTCCCAAGGATGGTGAGAAGCTCCAAAAGCGGCGTCGCCTGCTTTTTCTCGGCCACGCGCTTGCATTGGTCCGCCTTCATTATTGATGACGAATAATGCAACGTTTTACTGCTCTTTCTTTCTCGATGTTGGCAACTCAAGTTGAGGTGCCGATCTGCCAACCAAGCAGGCACGCCGCTGCAGCGCTGCAAAGAAGTCCACACTGCCGGGACGTCCTAAAATCCGGACCTGGGAATATGTCTGGCCTATGGCGAAAACGGGTTTTTGGCAGTCATGGCACGTGTTGTGCAGATCAACGGTGCCGCGAAGGTGAAGCTTACCAGGCAGGGCTGCAGCATTCCAATGACGAGAGTATCTGACTGCACCGTCTTCGACAACACGAAGCAAGAAACCGAGATGTCCACCAGAGAAGTAGAACTGAGTAGGGCATGGCCCATCATGGCTGACTGCGATTGTAATGCCGCGCGCCAGGCAGCAAGCGGTCGAACTTCAGAACGAACTGCTCGAAGGGTAGCGAGCCTAGCACTGCACGCCGTGCAAGCAGACTCACTTTTGTTTCTGTGGTTCTGTGTTTACCTTCAGTTCTGGCGTGTCACACCAGATAATGCAAGAAGCGATAGACTTTGCAAAGGATTATTGGCAGATGTTGGCAGGTTCAGGTCTGGCGACTTCCAGGAACGCTTCCGGGAGCTTCAGGCTAGCCGTGCACTCGAGCGTCGATTCAGCTCATGACAGAAACCTCAGAAGTGAGAAGATGCCACTGCTTGTGCACAACACAGTGATGCCAATGCAGCTCACGACCTGGGAGAACCTGGGAGAACCTCGGAAGCCTTGAAAAAGGCCCAGCCCCAGCTCTTGAGCATCGAAGCTTTTGAACTAGGTTATACTGGGGGCCCGAATTCCAGTCGCAACTACTCTGTAAAGGAATCGCGGCTAGAAGCTGTTGAGTCTCTGGATGTTTGACTGAGCCCTTATACTTGACATCCCTCAACTGGGTGCGCAGAATCACAGCTTGGCTGACCCTCAGCCTGCACTGGGAAGGCAAAGTTTCCCGATGGGGGCGCCACCTTCTACGTGGAAAGAAGGAAGCTGGTCCTTTCAGTCGCTGTCTCTGCTCTGTCCCAACGGGGTTTTCGGGAAAAGCTGTGAGTTCCTTGATAGCCAAGGTACAGACCAAGGTCATTCCGAAGCCAGACCCCGAGACCAGGAAGGCACCAAAGGGAAACTCCGCTTCCGAGAGTCCTTGGCGCAGGTATGGCTTTGCTGCGGATTTGAGTGGCGTTTTCGACATGGTCGTGCTTGCCCTAGAAGCTGGGTGAAGTAAGCTTCTGAGTCACTGCGCACTGCCACGTCGGACTCTCCATGCAATTTGCTCAGCGCCTCCTTGCCTCCCTCCCGGACGAGGAGAACGAGTGCAAGCCTCAACTGACCTGTGTGGCCAAGAGTCCGACGACTCTGTCTCGACTTCAGGATTGGCAGGAGAGGATGGGAGATCGAAAGGCCACGGATGCTCCTGTTTGAGACAGTGAATTCCCTATTGTGCAGTGTATAGTACTCCGGGAGCTCTGCCCCATGTGCGCTTGCGCAAACCAGATGCATCCGCTGAAGCGCGGGTCGAGTAAACAGCTGTATTTCAAAAGTGAATAAATCTGTGACAACTGGCTCCTGCGGAGGCTCATTGGTGAACGGGAGACGAGCCATGAGAATGCGCAGGCCAAGGACGTCAGAGTCGGCGGTGGTTCATTGTCACTGTAACGTTCTCGCTTCGATGAAGATGTTCCCGACACAGCAACCATTTAAGGACAACGTTGAGCCGGTTGGGTCAGTGAGGAGACTTTTAGTCAACGGAGGTTGAGGAATATTGACCCAACACAAAGTCGTGGAACTCGGGGAAGGGGGTGGGTTCGGTGTCCCAGGTGCAGTCGTCACCAAAAAGAGTTGTCCGCTTTGAACGGTCGGAGCAGTCTGCACCCACAGCTTCACGGTCCCGGAATCTTCACCGCATGCGCAGTTGTTCGTGATCTAGGGTTCTTCCCTGCTGAAACCATCGCAGTGTTGGGTCATGCTGAATTGCAGGATGTTGATGCCGGCATAGACACGGAAGCTTCAGACGAGGTTCTCGATGTTCAGCCGGCACCTGACACTGACGCCGAGAACACCGCAAGAGGGGAAAATCAGTTTATGAATGCGCTTGATCAGATGGAGGATGAGGGAATGACGAGCGAGCAGGCGCCGACAGTAGGCCTCGCAGAGGTGCTGGCAGAAAGTGACGGCCACGATAGTTTTGCAGAGAAACAAGCTGTCGAAGAGGTCAAGTTGCCGGCAGGAGCATCCGCTGTCAGCGCAGCAGATTTAGAAACTACACAGGCCGAGCCTGCAGACGTGGCAGAGAATCCTAGCTTGGACCAGCACCCGCCAGCGAGTGGTGGCCAAGAAGCGGAGGAAACCGCAATGCATTCCGCCCCAGATGACGCAGCTGAAGCTGAGCTCGAGGCTGCAGAGTTCTCAGCGGCTCAGGAGGAAGACATGAACCCTGCGCAGCCCAAAACTGAAGCGACGGAGGCCATGGCAGAGGAATCCACCTTGGACCAGCGCGCTGCTGCGCCAGGGTCGTCTCCTTCTTCTGAAGGTGGCCAAGAAGTGGACAAGATAGCAATGCAATCCACCACAAATGAAGCAGCTGACGCTGAACTCGTGGCTGGAGAAGCTTCTGCAGTTCAGGAGGAAGACATGAACACTGTGCAGGCTGAAACTGTACCTGTGGCAGAGGCCGTGGCAGAGGATTCTAGCTTAGACCCTCACGTTGCCATGCCTGAGACAGCAGTACACTCCACCACAGATGATGCAGCTGATGCTGAGCTCGTGGCTGGAGAAGCGTCTGCAGTTCAGCAGGAAGCCATGAACACTACGCAGGCTGAAGCTGTAAACGTGGCAGAGGCCGTGACAAAGGATTTCAGCTTAGACCATAACGCTGCCGCGCCTGAGACAGCAGTGCACTCCACCACAGAGGATGCACCAGCGTCTGCAGTTGATGAGAAAGACATGAACACTGCGCAGGCTGAAACTGTAACTGTGGCAGAGGCCGTGGCAGAGGATTCTAGCTTAGACCGTCACGTTGCCGTGCCTGAGACGGCAGTGCACTCCACCGCAGATGATGCAGCTGATGCTGAGCCCTTGGCTGGAGAAGCTTCTGCAGTTCAGGAGGAAGAAATGAACACTGCGCAGGCTGAAACTGTAACTGTGGCAGAGGCCGTGGCAGAGGATTCCAGCTTGGACCGAAACCTTGCCACGCCTGACACGGCAGTGCACTCCACCACAGATGATGCAGCTGATGCTGAGCTCGTGGCTGGAGAAGCGTCTGCAGTTCAGCAGGAAGCCATGAACACCACGCAGGCTGAAACTGTGACTGTGGCAGAGGATTCCAGCTTGCCTGTATCGTCCGGTGGCCAAGAAACAACAGAAGCAGCAGAGCACACCTACCCCTTCGTAGATGGTGCAGCTGATGCTGCTTCTTATGCTGGAGAAGATTTTGTGGGGTCCAAGGAGGACACATTCGCAACAAGGTCATCCAACGGTGTAAGCACGGAGTTGCAAGATTCGATCAGCCACAGGGAGTCGCTCGTGAGCTCCATGGCTGCGAATGTACAACCTGTGGTCGAGGGAGATCTCAAGCAGGCTGGCTCTGAGAGAGATCGCTTGGCTGAAGCCTCCAGCCGACAACATCTGGAGGGCCCTGAGGCCTTACCGGGGCAGGAGGCGACCCACACGCCGCGCGGCTGCATAAAACATCAGCTTCAGCCATTTGCTTCAGAGTGCGATTCCTTTCTTACAAGCTCTTACAAGTAACGGAGTAGACCACGGCAGCGGGAGAATGTGCTCAGGGAGACTGAAGAGCAAAGGGAGCTGGAAGTGAATGGCGTGGCTGCCGTTCCGGAGGACCCAAGATTACAACATGAAGAGTAGGCCTGCAGTCCTTGCCGCCCTTGCGTCAGGACGAAGAGGGTCAGGACGAGGGTGAGGAAGAGGAGGAAGAGGAGGAAGAGGAAGAGGAGCTTGACGAAGACTGGGACGAGGATGGTCCCTCGTGTACTGGGTTTCGCAGTGTAGTCGTAGACTCGTAGACCTAGGACAGCTGCTGCACCGGCTTTCTGGCGTGACTTGCGTCGAATGGTTCTCTTGCCGCAATGACCGGCTCAATGGCAGGCTGCCTTCAATTCAAAAGTCACAGCACTCTTGCGATGGACGAAGTACAAATTGCAACATTGTACTTAAGTTAAAAGTCTGACAGTAGCCAGCCACGTACCTTCCAGCTCTGAATCCGTACTGGTCCTCAGCAGAATGAGGGTTGCGCCCTCACCTGTCCAGCCGGTGCTGACAGACCCCAAGATCCTTCCATCTCTGCCGCTGAGCGCATTACTTGAGGACTTGTGAAAGGGTGCTCTTGTGGAGCTTCTGAAGTTTTCGTTCCACGGTTCACGCTTGATTCTGAGGCAGCCGGGTGGCACCACCAGTTTTACCACACGAAACTTGGCGGACAAGACGGGCGGAGCTTCTGCACTCTTTCCAAACAGACCGAAGCTGTAAGGATGGGCATACGGTACGGCTGACAAGCTCCGCGCAGAGCAGGATGCTTGCCAGAAGTTACAGTTAGTGTGCCCACGCCGGCTTAATTCGATTTTTCGGGGTGCAAATCTGCAAGACCAAGGCCAGCCGCCAACACGGCGAGCTGTTTGCGCTTTGGTTTCGGATATCCTGTGCAACCTGCTCCATCGGATTGACAAGTGCTCTGGCCTGGAGCATATCGTTTCTGCATCAAACTCATGAGAGATCTAGTGTTACGCAGCTGGTGCATCCGTTCTTTTTGGTGCTTCGGTGAAGGTGCGGTCTTGCAGCTAGACGAGGACAATCTCGATGCTGTTTCGGCAACTGTGGCCGTGAGCACAGTGCAAAGCCCTCAGCACGGAATCCTTTCGAAATCTGCCCTTGCACTAGTGTTTCCTGTTCTGGGTTGTCCGGCTGCCGTTCTCGGCGAAGTCGCTCAGGTGCCTCATATCATCGATCTTGTCCGCATGCTTTTATCCGAAAGTCAGCTTTGATACTTGGTTGGCAGCAAGGTCCAGTACCTGAAAGGCAATAGCGGGATGGCTTCTAGGCCCTAGGCTAGCTTGTCTGTTAGAGAGATTTACTCACCGTCTGTTCGTGATTTATGTTTCTCGGACCGTCCAAGGACTGTCTGGAACGTTTTTTTATCGTCCAGGCGGGTGCTCGCATGATTTGGCAAGTCAGGTCTGTGCTTCAAGCGAGTCTGGAAGTTCATCACTGGAAGTTGTTCACCGCATTTTCCAGAGCATATTACCTAGAAGCGTTCTGCTTGGCATTGAGGCGCTGGTCTTGAATGGGATGTGGCTTGGTCGGCCGTTTGGACAGTCTAGCGAAGAATCGGAGCTGCTGGTTTCACTTGGTCCAAAACAGCTCCCGTCAGGCAGGAGCGAGGGCCTTTGCGGGCTGCACATGCGAATGGGCCGTGAAATGACAAGGTTTATGTTCCTTCCGCTCACCATTGCAGACGCAACAAATCGGGCAATGAATCTGACGTGGCTTCTTGACTTCAGTCTCGAATATTGGCGCCTCATGCTGCTACTTGCGATCGCATCATGTTCAGCCCCAGGCACTCAGTGGGCTTCAAGCTTTTGGCATTGACCGGGCGGCGATTCTCGCGCCCTCTGGCGAGCATTGCCAGAGGCGACCTCAGCAGGGCCCAGGAGTCGAGGCATTGTGCCCTTGGTCTAAGGCTGCCTGATCCTGCTGGCCTGTTCCTGCTTGATTGATGCAGCCACCCATCTTGCCGGCTTTTTTCTTCTCGACGGAATCTTGATCGCATTGCTGCTATTGTTCCATGTTCGTCCGCAAAGTCCAGCAGCATACGACAGTGTCAGGTAGACCTGGTGCGGGGTCTATCGCCGCCTGGACTGCAATCAAGCTTGCAGCAGGAACCGGCAACGCAGAGTGGGCTCACGTGTCATGCAACGCATCATGCTGCAAACCGAAAGACCGACCGGAGAGCTGGCAAAGTGGTGAAGTAAAGCGCAGGGACCGGCAAGAACCGAACAGCAAGGGACCCAGTGGGTTTTCCAGGTGTTTGTTCTCTTGGTGAGCGGCTACATCGGCTTGATGTGCTTTGTCACCTGCGAACGCATCTCCAGGCGGTGCTTGAGTAGCTGTTGAGCAGTCTAGTTTTGCTCCCGAAACTGACAGGTTCTCCCAGGTGCAAAGAAGCCACCAAGAGGTCCTGGAAAAGACCTTGACGGAGGCCGGTCTTGTGCGGGAGCCATTGCACGTGCCCGCAGCATCACAGAGCACAAGGCCTTCGACTCCTGGGCATTTTTGGACGCTTAGTGGCACAATCACAGCGCAGTAATGCGCAACTGCGTGACCTTCGTGACCGTGTCTTGCTGCCGACTGAGGACCAGCGCAAGCATATCTCCAAATGCCTTGGAGACCTTCGAGGCAGCCGAGCCGACGATCCAGTGCTTGGGCAGCGAGAGCTTGGAAATTTCTTTCCGTTGGTGTGCCTCCAAAGAATCCGTGCTCCGAGGCATGTCAGTTGCTGGCAGCTTGTCTCGGCAGCAGCGACATCAGAACACGAGAAGTCCGGCAGGCACATGCTTTGAGTTGCCTGCTTTGCTTGCTTCGCTTGCTTTTCGCTTCTTTCTGCCGGGGCTCCAGTCTTTTGGGCAGCCGCAGGCATTCCGATCTGTTGATGCGGCTTCCTGCTCCAGGGTGGAGCAAGCTCGAGCTAATGTTTGCACCGAACAAGGCCATTGTCCACAAGTAGAGACCAGAATGCAACAGTACAATTCATACTGACAGGTGGAGATGTGCAGGCAGAGCTGGTGATCCTTCGACTTGCTACAGGTTGAAACTTGGAATGCTGGAGAGAGGAGCTTCAGCAACTATGCACAGGCAAACGTCCTAGTTTTGTCAAGGTGATGGTGAAAGATGCTGTTGCCTGCACCCTGCCTGCAAGAGGAAAGATCATCCTGACATATCTTGACCAGTCGGGTAAGAAGGGTCTGCAGGGTTGCGTCGTCGTGAGAAGCCGTTGTGTCGCTTCGAGCTTCCATTGCTCGGCAGTTCTCCCGAGGAGCGGCTGCGGACTTGCTGCAGCGAGTGAGATGCCGCAATACGTGGCTACTCAGCTGCAAGACTAGACATGCCGTGCATGCAGCTGTGCGAAAGCCTGGCCACTGCGCTGATGAAGCCACAGATCGTCAAGGTGGGAGTGCATTCCTCTCCGGCAAGATCTCGCAGCGTCGGAGGCTTACTTGCGACAATCCGACTGAAGCTCTACTGCAAGGTGTTTCAGAGGTTCGCTAGAGTGTGGTCCCGCCGATGTCCAAGGCGAACCAAGTGGTGCACCATCACTCGTCTGTACATGCTGCGGGTGCTAACCAGGATGCGGGGCAGGACAGCCATCTTTGCAACAGCCCAGCAACAGTCAGCGCCCTTTCTGTCACCAACAGGCAAGGCAGCGCCAGCAAGAGCGCCCGCCGGGTGTCAGTGACAGTCTCATTCAGAGCGATGCCTGGACAGCGCTTCATGATGGCCGGTAGGGAGTAGAGTCAGGTTTGTGTATTGAAGCAGCAGCATGTGCTTCGCAGTCGGTGTATGTGCACACATCTGAGGAAGATGTCCAATCTGGTGGTTCGGACGATGCCAGCGTGATTTCAAAGGCAAGGAACCAGGTGCGGTTGGCAGGCAGGGTCATGTGGCATCCAGGATGCATGCTGCACCATCCAGCGCCCATGCCCGACAATGCAAGCTAAACATGTGCATGTGCATGTTCGTCTGATGCTTGCAAAGCGTGCTACGTGGAAGATCGCATTCTCAAAAGTGTATTCTTTCTAGTTAATTTCTGGGGGAGCATTCGGATTTGACGACATCTTCTGTTCTGCTAGGTATGGGGAGTGTACCAGTTTCAACATCCAGTGCAGGAATTGAGAACAAGAGCAGCAGCATCTTCGACGTACCTCCACCAGAGCGCGAGGTGGACAGCTGCTTGGTTTCATCTATGCCGCAGTCGCGGATTTCCTTTCGAAGATGCCACCAGTGAAGGTCAAGGCAAGAGCTTCCGAGAACTGGTGGACTTGGGACGGCGTGAGCATTGGATCGTAGATCCGCAGCAGCTCTGTTCCTCAGATGCGACATTGGGATTGTCGCTGTGAGCCTTGAGCGGTTTTCTGTAACATCTCCTGCAGCTTTCTGATGTCACTTGCGAGATCTTGCGAGCTTGTGTCATGTTTGCTAACCTTCTTGCCTTCCTTGACACGTGGGCTTGGAAAGGCGATTCGGGAACCATAAACCAAAACACTGCATGAAAGCACAACACTTCCAGCTCTCCCCAAGACCTGAGCATCGTGCACCTCTTTTTTTCTCCAGCCGTTCCGAATCGTACCGCATGCTTTTCCATCTCTATGTGACGCCGCCTGCGTGACAAGCATTGACACACCGCGCAGCACCGCGACAGCAAGTGGCTGCTCTCCACTCCGCTCGCACGCTTCACGGGGGAAGAACGCCCCTAAGACTGCTCCTGCCCGTGGCTTTCAGTTTGTTGCGCAAGTCTTGCTATGAGGAACTAGCCTGCGCATGACATCGATCCCCTTTTGGCGGGCCCTTCAGTTTTTTGGTAGTTTTGTGTGTCCAGGAAAGGAATGTGCCATGCTGGAAATGCTTTTCGTCTGCCATGGCCCAGCGGTGTTGTTTTTGCTATTTTTTGCTGCAGCTATCTCCCGCTGCAGCACCTTGAGGCTTGTTCGAGAGCCACACATTAGGCAAGCGGAAGCCTGCGGTGAGCGTCCTTGCACGGTTATTTCCGCATTGCACAGTGCATTGGAGGCAGCGGTACTTTCGGCACCGTCTTTCAAGGCACCTACTACGGCGCTCAGGTCGTGACCCGGCTGCCAGGTTATGGGAACGGGATGGCCTTGCGTGCGCATGCCATGCGCGTCTTGTTCCGGTCAATGCTGCAGCAGTTGCAACAGGGTGATTGCAGGAGCCATTGCTTTCGTTCGACAGAGTAGTTCCATCTCGCTACGTTCAGAAGTCGTGGTGCGGGGATTGAACGTTTTTTCGAGGCAGTCAAGATGCCCAAGGCAGACAAGAAGGAGCAGCCACTTGGCAATCTGCACCTTCGTTCATCATCATGGCTATCCGCTGTATGGCATTGTAGATGGGTATGTTCAGGATTTGTGACAGAAGACATAGGAGCCTTGTGATTCCTTGCATGTCGGCACGAACTCTTGAGCTGGTTGCGAGCTGCTTCCAGTTTGCCGCTCTTGAACGAGCTTCGAACACTCCGCCGGCTACGCCATCCTAACATCGTCCTGTTCCTCGGGGCCCATGTCGTGCAGAAAGCTCAGACTCTCCGGGCTGGACGCACGCCGCGCGCCGCCTGCCTGACAGCCTGGCCTGACGTGAGGCCGTCCACGAACGACATGGCTTTGGTCTTCGAACTCATCGAGGGTCAAACCCTGCATGTCTCCATCTGAGATGTGTTCGATGTTTTCCTTGCCGCAGAGTCAGAGATCGTCATGGCTCTTCTGCAGGATTGGATCAAAGGCCAACCACACCCCATAGAATGCGATACAGGCTTGAGTCCAGCGGCAAGCCAAACTTCGGCGCATTGTTTCTGGCCTTGGTGCATCTGGCAGGCAAGCTGAACATCCTGCTTGGCATTTCTTTGGCACTTCGGTATCTACACCAACAGGACAAAACCCTCGCCAAGGGCTCACACACGAGATTTCAAAACTTGTTGCATGCTTGTTAGTCATTTGTGTCTGAGGTGCATGGTGACCTCAAGGGTACGAATGTGCAGCTTGGAGTGCATGGACCGAGTGGGATTCGAGCCGTGCAAAGTGATAATGATCATGTGTATGATGTACGTCTTCTTGCATCCGAAGGTTTGTGGAGAACGGTAACCTTTTGCCCAGAGCAAAGCTGGGTGACTTTGGTCTTGCAAGGCATCTGCAGCGAAATGAGACAGCGACATGTAGAGACGCTGTATTCCTCCGGGTGGACAGGTTCCTGTACAAGACAGAGCACACTATGGGCGGAAGCTTGAGGTGGATGGCACCAGAGATAGCAACTGGACACTCGGCTTGGAACAGCGTCTTCCAAAGTGTTGCCATGGCTCTTCCTTTGTTTTTCACGAGGGCTTCATTTTGAACGGTGGCGGTGACAGTTTTATTTTCACGTGCACTCAAGGACTGAATCGCTCGCCGCGGGGAGCTTACTATTCCGCCACTTCGTTGCTTCTGTCGTCCTTTGGGAATCATGGTTCGTTCAGCTTTCCTTCCGCAGGTCATGTGCCGCGGACATCTTTTCCCTGGGGGCATTGTTTAGCATCGAAGCTGCAGTAACGAAGCCGGAACTGAGTTGAATAAAGCTGTGGGTCGCGGACGCTTTGCACGAGAATGTACACTTCGGCCCCAGGGGTAAAAAGGCCTCATGACTGCAAGTGTCGGATTTCTGCCCTCTTGCAAGGTTTCACCCTCACAGCTACTTGGCTTTGCGTACAGCTCTGGTTTACATTCTGTACCGCTAGCCCGGTCGGCTCGTGTGTGCAACTGCTTTGCTCAGGATGTCAAGCCGTTTGATGGCATGGATAGAGCGAATATCCTGAAGATGATGAGGAGGGGCAGCTTGCAACAGCTTACTTGGCCGGCAGAGAGCAGCGATGCCTGGCTGATTAAACCGCGCCGAGTAAGCATGCATTCCTGGACAACCCATGTGCAGCCAATATTGTGGCTTGATGCAAATCATTAATCGGGGCAGGATGCAATGCCACAACAAATCGCAGTGTCAATCTTGGTTTCACGCTAACTTTGCATTCCGTCCCAATGTCATGTCTCGGCACTGGCCCAGTAAGACATTGCCGCCTCAAGACTCAACGTCACTACTAAGGCCTGTGGTAGGCTTGCTGGCATTGGGATTGCAATTCCAGCCAGCACTGGGGATCGCATGGGACAGTAGCCAAGTCTTCGCAGCTGCAGCTTAAGCTCGTAACCCTGTGGGCAACCAAATCTCATTGCGATGTGCGGTTGTAATATCACTCTTAGATACTTGGGCTTCCGTGATTGTTCCAGCATCATTCCGTATCATTGCTATTGGCGCGTAAACCAGGTCGATATAGGGTTGAAGTATAGTGACGTTGATATTCGGGCCAGCATCGGAGTCGATACGAGCTTGTGCTGGACTTGTGCTATGAGGATTCTTAGTTCTTTGAATCAGAATTAATTAACCAAACTCCGAGCCAAGCTGAGCCTGAGCCACGACTGAACCTGACAATTGACAATGCGAGGGGCTCTGGATCCCCAAACGGGAACGACAGAGAGACGAAGGGTGCGAGTGATGCAAGCAGCAAGGGCAAAACACGCAGCATGACTAATGCTGGTGCCAGACCATGCGACCTCTCCGGGTGTGAGCTTGTCACACTTTTGAGCCAGTTGTGCCATGTTATCGTGCAAGCTGCAGACTGCCTGTAAGGAACTTTCCCAACTTATCGAGAACATCGGTGATTCTTGCTATCGGATGCATCCCTCTGACAGGCTGGCTGAACACATGTTTGCTCAGAGTTTGGCTCTGCTTAAACGTAGTGTGCCACTGCGTGAGCCTTGTGATAGGGAAGCAGGTGCTGTGTTCTTTTCATGGGCTGTGATGTTTCCTGCACCGCTTCTTTGCAGCATCAGGCCCGACATCATGCAGGCAGGGGTCCAAAAGCTTCGAATTCAGCTGCATATATTGCGACGCTGTCGGATGCGTGAAGGTTCTGGAGGTGCTGGACACGTCTCTTGGCTTTGCAGTCTCCTCAAACCTGAGTCCATCAGTCCAGCAATGATGTTACCCGAGGTGCATGGCGATGCAGCAGGGTCGCTTCTCGGTGTATTCTACAGTTTGCTCTCGCACACGAGAGCTTGCAGTCGGGCGTGAAAGCTGCCAAGGACCAGCAGAGCTCATGTGAGCAGGTGAACCACAAATGGGCAGAGTTGTGGCTTCTGTTGCACAGCACTGGGGTGGTCCGCATAATCCATGTGGTTTGCATCTGCATGCCTTGTCTGAACCCAAGTGCGCACTTGCAGAATCGTCGACGACTAGCCAAACTCTTGGGGAGACTACTGCTTCTCCACAGGGGTTAGGTCGTCGACCTGTTAACCTGTACCCATCGGCCGGGTAGTTTCTCGAAGAGAACTTCCCGTGCAAAATATCCGTGTGCAAGTCTGTAACTCCTCGCATCGAGAGCAAAGACCATCCCAGCAGCTGGACTTGCAGACTTGTGTACTTCAGCATTCGGCCTGTGCTACCAGCGTGGTTGCAACTGAATGCTTAGCTGGCTCCTCGTTACCGCGAACCCGCGCTCACGAAGCCCCGTCAAATCCCATTCGGAGCTTCGTCTGACTTCTGCCATGCTGACTGGCGTGGATGCTGTTTGATATCCGGCAACGTGCTTGAGCTCACACTTTCAGGCGGCTCGGATCGTGGACGAAACCTCTGCGCAGATTCAGGAGGCGAAAGGGCCAGAGAAGTGTGCTCCGGTGGGGGAGGTTGGGAAGAGGTAGAGGTTCATTACGCCTGACAGGTCTTGGCCGCGACTCGCACTGCCTCCAAGAAGGCCAGTTTTGCAGAATCCGGCCGAAGCACAATGGGTCCTTCAAAGGGGCTCCGTGCTTTCTGACGATGAAAGGAGAAGCCCGCTCTGCTAGCTCGAAAGCGTGAGCTGGACTGCCTGCCTTCTGCGCTGTGCGTCCTGTGGACAGAGAGTGCGGGAGGGAGAGAGAGAGAGAGAGAGAGAGAGAGCGAGAGACGGGTCAAACCCCCCACCATAACCCTGGAGGTAAGAAAGAGACGGGCCTGCACAAGAAGCAGAAGGAGACAGAGCGAGAGGGACGAAAAAGAAGTGCTCCTCCTGGCCATGACCACGAACGAATACACGTCCTTGTTCGGCCCCCGATAAGTAAGAAGATGGTCTCGGAGTGAAGACCGGTGCGGAAGCGAAGAAGTGGCCGACCGTGGACCTCGGACCCGCTCTCCTAGCAGTGGCTGCGGGGTAAGGCTTCCGATCTGGTCGGATGCTCGTGCTTCGAGAACGTGCTGGTGCGCCCTCGACTCGTTTGTGCTAGCGCATGGATTACTGTCGTGCGTTGTACTGCAAACCACCCCACAGCAACAGTTTTACACACATTTCACGCTTATTTGGGGGCCTGAAAAAGTCGTCCGTCACGTTGGAACGGTGCTTGCCGTGGGGTGAGGTGTCGGCACCATTTGGGGCAAATAAGTTGATATTAGATCAGAGGTTGTAGGCCAGCCATTCCTTGCCATTTCCAGTTTTTGCGGCGACTTGAAGACCGTCGGTATCCGCGGGGCCCGAATGTCATCGTTTGCGGCAGTTTTTTCTAGGGCACGGCTGTTCTGTGTTGTTCTTCATATTGGGTGCAGAGACTTAGTCGCAAGATGTTTAATCATGACGGGCAGATTACTTGTCACGCGCTCAGTTCCTGCCCTGCAATATGGCATGGGAGGAACAGCCATCTAGTTCAATGTCTCTCGGGGCCAGTTTAAGTTCCTCAAAGTGCGAGGGTAGTGATGGAAAGAAACGCCCAACACTACTCCGTTCCTGCTGCACGCTCACCGTTCAAGTTGAACGAGGCACCAAATCTCGTTGTCTTCCGGGTAGCCCAAGTACGGTTCCTGCAAAGGGGTGTCGGAGTAACTCCCCGGAGCGCGGGAAAAGTGCAGTCCTTGTTCACCAGAGCTTGAGCGGGCATAGCGGGGCAGAGCAGAATAGGTAAGTCGTAGCTACACCTAGGTGCTTTTGAAGTTAACGACAAAGGATGAGAAAGGTTCAGGTCCTCGCTGTGAGTTGGGTTGGGACAGCTTTGCAAAAGTCGAGAGGAATCGAGTCCTTGTTACTTTCACCAGGAAGTGAGTCGGGCCTTGCTTACTGTAGCACTTGGGGAAGTAAGTTGGCCCTTAAGTTCCAAGGAAACAAGAAAGGCAGACGCCGGTACAGGCACAGTCTATGAGTCGTCATCATCATCATCATCATCATCATCATCAGCAGCACCATCATCAGCAGCACCATCATCATCATCATCAGCACCACCATCATCATCATCATCAGCAGCACCATCATCATGGTCATCATCATTTCTTGAGAAGCTGAGCCGGAACGAGAGATTGTGCATGTTGTGGGCTGGATGAACTCAGGTGTTTCTTTCCGTTTCAATTTCCAGCAAGTCCCGTATCAGCCCAGCAAGCACAAGGTAAGGCAAGCTTCCCGCAGCCTGCCCAAAGAAACAAAGTCAGGCATGCCTGTGTAGGTGTGCGAGGGGCAGTGACTTTCTCCTGCCCCGCAAAGAGAGAGCAAAGCGGAGAGCGACAGAGACAGAAATTCAAGGCTTCCTGTTGTTGGGACCAAAGGAGACCGGCGCCGAATATTTGGATGCTTTGGCATACCTGGAGGCCAGAAATGGACAGGCCGTTCTAGTCGGATCAAGCCGCTGTTGGTGCAAGGATCCCGTCGGCGAGCGACGACGACGGCAAGACGCTGATGCTGAGGTCGGCTGGATTAGCGGGCCGATCTTGCAGTTGGCTGTCTGTGATGTGTGGCCTTGCTCAGGCATCTCGCATAGTTGACGAAGTTGCAGGCAAGATCGCAGAGGTGCGGTGCAGATATGTGCACAGTGGTATTGTTTGCATCGAACTCAATCCAGCTTCTATGTACAGGCTTAGCAGATGTTTGTTGTATCATTGTGCGAGTGTAGCATATTCCACTGCTGTCAGGTCCTCATATCCATGAGGACAGCCTCCAAAAAGGAGCCATGCAGTTGTTTTCCCAGCCCATGGCGTGTCAGTGGGCACGGAACTGGGTAACATGAAGAGCTCTCGTGCCCAATGCAGGACAAGCCTGGACTACTTGCACAAAAGCGAGAACTGGACTGAGCGTGCAAAATAGGGCAAGCAATAGTTCTGGTTGTGGGTGAGAATCCGCCCAAAGCTTCGCAGTGTAGCTTTGATTCAGAAGCTTCTCTTCGACGCCATGCCTCTTTCTTGTGGCCGTGTTGGGAAAAGACAAACCGGAAGCTGTCTAAGCGTGCTTGGCAGGAAAATCGTCCGGAGTATTTAAATGCCCTCCAGTACTTGGAGGCCTGGCCGTCTCCGTTTGCCGTGCTAGCCTGACAGACGCTTCAAACCGGTATGCAATGCTCACTCGTCCTTGCAAGGATCCCGCCAAAGAGCGACAGTGCCGAAGGTGCCCTGCTGTCGCGACAGGGACTTGTGATCCACTTGCATTTCGCTTGCATCGAATGCACTTCTCCCGTGCCAGGCAAAGCGCGCAGCAGTGAGCTCGGAGCTGCCCCGCGGCCGCGAACAGACGGTGAAGCGTATGCCCGGCCGGAAACGAGAAGACCAGAAATTGCCGTGATGGTACTCGCAACGCTTTTTCTGGGCCTGGCTCCACCACAGTAGATGTAGGTCTGAGGAGCTGCTCGAAGCTCGGTAGAGACTCGATTTTCTGGCTTCGGAGCCACCCTTCGCGATCCCAAAAGACCTGGATCGGCCCAACATGCAACATGCCACCGAGGGGCGAGGATCAGGATCTGGAGACCTTCCCCGTCTTTTGCATTTGCTCAAGGGCTATTCCAATCAAAGCCATCACCCCTGGCCGGTAGCCCACGGCTGGCAACATTCTGATATCGTTGCTGCCTCAACAGGAACGAACCGGCGTGGAAAGGTTGCAAGTGTGCAGCCCTTGCTGAGGCACGCATGGCCTCCAGAAGTCGTGGTCCTGGAACCTTCTTGACTGTCGATGTTAGCTTTTCTGACTCCCTCCACACTGAGGAATGAATCTTTGTGACTGGCACAGGTTTCTTTGTTTCTTGACAGCAACTGGAGAACCTTAGGAGTCCTTTGAGCTCGAGCTCGCGGCTAAGGTAGCTGTCTCTTGTTCTCCATATGCCCGGTGCCTCAGAGAATCTCAGAGACAGAGACCTCAGAGATCAGGGGGGCTCTTTCTGCCAATCGAGGCCAGGGCCAGGCTCTGATGCCGGAGGCCCCGCCGGATCCTCGCAACCCCCGAGCTCTTCGCATGCTTTCGCATGCTCGTATCCTCTCGGTCGGATCGGACGCTTCAACCGAGGGCGCAGGGAGCCGGCCTCCTGCAGTCCCTCTACTCCACGAAGGCCGCCGTTCTTTTCCCAGACGTGGCGGCTTTGGTGACAGACCTCGTCTTGCCTGAGGCTGACCCTCAAGTCGACTCGGTGTCTGCGCTGCAGTTGATGCAATCCCCGCAGATGCAGATGCCTTAGCTCAGACTGACTCCTTCGACCACTTGCAGGTTCACGTGCATGTGAAGGAGTTGTTTTGTTCTCACATCAACGCCAGGTTTCTGCAGCCTACCTCTCTGCAGATGCCCAGCAGAACTTCCATGTCAGACGCTCGGTTACAAGCGGTGTTGCTCCTGGTAATGCCGTTCAGTCTGCCAGGATGCAGCTGCCAGAACAGCCGTCAGCACAGTCGGTTTTGTCGGCGGACTCCAACCTGCGTCGTCCTTCGCAGATAATCCCAGACCCACTGCTGCAGCCGCAGCAGATGGGAACGGTGCCGACGTATGCAATGCCACAGATGCAGATGCCATCCCCACAGTTGTGGGGTCAGATGCCGCAGATGCAGATGCCTGGCTCTGAGCGATGGCCGCGTGCGGAGGCGGACTGGAAGAATCTTGACTCCTGCAAGGCCAATGCCCTACCAGCAGGTTCAACCTCTTGGCCTGCAGCAGGTGCAAGCTGGGTCCGCGCCTTTTTTTCTTGCTTGGCCGCCGCCACCCTAGCATGTGAGCGCCCGAGGAGCTGGATGCGAGAGCAGGCCGTGAGCTCATATGCGTTTAAGAACCAGAAGTGTAAGCCTCTGCCACACCCGACTCCGAACAGACTCTAGCACAGACTAAGAGCCGAGGCCATGGAACAGCAGTTTATGGCCATGCGGCAGGAGCTGCAAGTGCTCAAAGAGCAGGACTGGACCTTCCACTGCTCGTCTTAGTTGAGGTCAGGGCTCGCCAGGGCTTAGGGGGCGGGCCCTCGCCTACTGCGCAGGAAGCCAAGCAGGCCAAGGATTTAGAATTGAAGGCTGGGTCCTCGTTTTTTTGCAACTCCTCTTCATGTCCAGCTCGACATATGTGTCGTCAGGCTTTTAGCTGCCCCGTCGCACCTTTCGGTTGAGCAAACCAGCTTTGGCTCACAACCAATGCGCATTTCGTGCTCAGCCCGAAACATCTTGCTTACTGCTGTTTCATTGGCCGAGCCCGTGTCCTGTCGTGGCTGGGGATCTAGACCGCATTGCTGAAACATTTGGGCACTTGCTAACAGATTCGTTCATTGAATGAAATGAAACATTTGCTTTCGGCCCGAATGACGCGTCTCTCTGAGATACCCTCGAGCTGAAAGATGTGAGTATCTCGAGCTCCCCGCAAATGGTTGACTGAGGTCTTCAGCTGTTAAGTCCAAGTGGTAGATCTTCCTGTTAACCTTGTTTTTTGTAACGAGTCAAGTTTCTAGTCCTGCTGATTTGTCCAGTTTGGGGGATGCCTCGAACGAGCCCATTTTCCGATCCCTTCAATATTGTTGCAACCCCTTCCTTTTCCATCCGTCACGAAAACACCCTTGAGACATGTTCTGTTGTACCTCCTCACAGTAGACTCGAACTCGAACTGTCGCTCGGAACACCTCCTGCCCCACTGTCAGATGCGAAACATGTTGTGACGGTGTGGTTTGTATGGCAAGTCCTGTCCTCGCTTGAGCACGCGGTGGTTGCTTCTGGATGGGATCCCTGTGCGCTCGCAGTCAGCAGAAGCCGATGTGGCCGACAAAAAGGTGGAGGAGGCACGCTCCACGACTCTGAAATTTCCGAAAGCACCTGGGGCCACAGGCGGAAAGGAAGATGAAGGCCTGCGGAGCCCTAGTGGGGCTAATGGCTACTGTATAAGGCAGTTCGGATCAGAATCAGCCGATTGCGGGACCCTGCAGGATGCGGATGCTGCAGCTAAGCAGTTACAGGATAGAGAGCAGAAGGTCGAGGATCAGGTCGGGGGGGCTTTGGAGCCGCCGAGCACGGCCACTCAAAGCTGCGCGTGGCTCGCGCTTTTCAGGCCATTTCAGCTGTCCGAACAGCAAAAGCTCAAGTTTCTCAGGCTCAAGTCGCTGTGATGCGAATGTGTCGACTTGTCACATGCCACTCGCTGGCAGGCGCAGAAAGAGGTCAAGCAGATGCAGGACGAGCTGCGACAGGCCTTGCAAGTCCTGCCAAGCAGCATGTATTGGTGCTCAGAAGTTTTAAATGGCAGGCGCAGGCTGATGCCATTCAGGCACGGGCGGCTCAGGCAGCTGCAGAGGACGCAAGAACTTCTTGGAGAAGCAGACTTTCCTTGCCCTTCGTTACGTCGGGCAAAGAAAAAAATACCAGCAGCTTTCCAGAGCGCTTGGCGACGGCATGAATGCATCCAGGAGCAGGTGGCAAAAGCCGAAATGCTGCAAGCGGCGCAGGCACGGCTGGGTTGCTCGCTGTCTGGCCTATGGATTGGAGATTGGAGATTCTGACACGCAAGACTCAAACTCAGACAGGGTCCACTGACCAGTTCAGAAGGAAGGCCATCACAGCAGGATTTATTGGCGAGAGTGGGACGAGGAGGTTCTGAGGAAGGATTCGGAAGGATGTGCACGAAAGGCGCGTAACCTCGTTCTTCTGAATGCAAAGAGATCAGATCTAAGCATTGTCCGAGGCATCGTCGTTGCGAGCTTTGTCGGTCTCCACTTTGCGGTCGAAAATACGCTCGGGTAGAGTTTTGACTGTCTGTGGCACTGAGTCGCAAAACGAAAAGCTAGTGCAGGGCTCAGTAAGGGTTGGCATAACGAGCATCGCAGCAAGACGATGATCTGTGCGCTTTTACGGCTCGAGTTGGGATTTTGTGGCCATGTGCTAAAAATCCTGCTGCACCTGCCCAACATAAGAGCTGTTTGCAAGTTGGAGACATTTGCAGAAGCTATGCCCGTGCTCTCGTGCTGGGAGAGTTGTCGATTGTTTGATTGACCAGGCTCAAAGCGACATCAACAAGGACATGTTGGGAGCCCTCAGCTCGGTCAAGAGGTCGCAAGCCTTTGAGGTGGCTCTCGCTGTCCGTTGCGTCGAAATCGCTCATCTCATCCCCCCCACTCCCTGCGCCAGGTTGGGTCGCCGCAGTAAGGGCTGCAATGAGCTCACCCTAAGGGCACGCAGATGCGTTTGCTCGTAGATCATGGTCCGTCTCGACAAGAGCAAGGAGCCTTGAGCTTGCTAGCCTCGAAAATCCAATCTTGCGCAGCCCTGCCTGACGCCTGTCGTAGCTTTCAACAGCCGAGTTACGGTTTGAATTTTCTCTTCGCGGCCTGGCTCAAGCGGAAACGGCGGGCTCTTCGTCGATCTTGAGCCAAGCCGGCTCGGCGCCCGGCTCGGCACAGGAGGTTGTACATGCATGTACATGCGAAGCTGCAGGCAGCTTCCGCGATGGTGAGATGCTTGGTGTCTACCAAAACTTGTGCGCATGTGCCTGCCTTGCACTGCAAGGCTGTGCCAGACGAAGAGATACAGGAAGTCTTCAAGCTTTTTGACCAGGTCAGCAGCAAATACGTGCTGAGTATGTACCTACATGAGTCAGACTCGATTGGACAGCACCTCCTGTCGCTGTTGCGAGGATGGCTCGGGAATTAAGATCAAGGAGATTGGTACCGCGTCTCGGCCATGATGGTGATGTGTGGCCTCGCAGATCTCTGCAGTACAACAGCTGGCTCCCCATCTGCGGTCTGCGGTCTGCACTGAGGTCATGCGAAGCCTTGGCCTGGCAGCGTCTGAGGCGAAGATCCAGTAGAGATGATTGCCACGCGCTCTCCCGGATTTCTGCCGGTAGGCTCAGCTGCGAGAGTTCCGAGCCGAGGCAGAGAAGAAGGCAACCTAGTGCAGAAAACGAAGCTGCAGTGCTTCCTGCTGCAAATGTTCCTTCATGCAGGACTCGACATTTGTACAGTTTCCCGACTTCCTGGGCTATGTGAAAAGAACGGAAACAGTTGAGGCAGGCCCCTCGGGCACGAGTCGCGAGTCATGTTGCTGGCATCGCTCTTTGTCGCTTGATCAGGCGACCAAGTCTAGCGATGTGGGCAAGGAAATGGAAGGAATGAAGGCTACAGTATTGATGCAAGTTCGCTCTTCACGATGGCGTCTTGCCACTCTCAGTTTGATGCGCAGGTTGGCTTGCTCTACTTTTTCGACAAGGTCTTTGGTTCAAGTGGGGCCTTTCGGGAAGACTGCTACCCTGTTCGCTTCTGTTGGTTAATGTGCTGGGTGGGTTGGGTTTCGAATGACTTGTCGTGGGCATCCCAAGTGCTTCGCCAGTTGACCACGAAGCAGATCCGAGAGAGCCCTCCGGACTCCATCAAGATGGCGGATCTCAAGCAGCTCCTTTGCACATACACTGACACATTGCAAAAAATCTAGGACATTCACCGGCTCACTTTCATCCGTTGCACTGATGATAGCATTCTCTCGTCGCCTCGCTCCTAACTCAATCCTGCGTCTAGAGATGACACAGTCCGAGTCGCTTCTCAGGCACATTATGTCATCGGTCGGCGAGAAGATGACAGAGGATTCGGCAGTTTTTTGCATTTGTCTGTCGTGCGACTCGACCTTTAGTAGCGTTGATGGCTCGATGCTTGCAGCCTGATTACAGCGAATATTGCCCATCATGATCTTACTGTGGCCTGGACCAACCACATGGACATGAACTACGTTTCCATTAGCTGGTCCGGCAAGCGGCTGGTTCTTCATCTGTACCCATATATCCACTGTTGTTGCACTGCATGAGCCTGATTCCACGTGTGTTGGGAATCGGAGCTTGTGCCCCGTCGCATGAAGGTCGGTCGGGCGCTTACTTTCGCAAGCTGCTGATGCCTTATAACCTACTAACGACAGAGATCCCGTGAATTCTTCCAGAGTTCTGCAGGGAGACAAAAGCAACGATGCCTGCTTGGGGCGGTTGCTGGCCTTCTGGCGACTCTTGCTCGGCCTGAGCCTCGAAAGGCTGACGAATGATCTTGCTTGAATGGTCGTTTGCCTGATGGTCTTCGTCGTTCTGCGCTTTGTTTCAGCAATATACTAGTAGCAGAGCACATGTCGAAAGACAGTTAAGTGTTCGGACGTGTGTAAGAGGCAGCCGTCATTGCAATGCAGACGCGGAGTGAAGAAGCTTTCAAGCTGTAGGCAGTTGCTTCTCCACAGTGAACTTCCATAAGGTGCCTTTGTTTTTGCGAGCCATGTGAGGCATGAGCATGGCATGAGCCATGTTGTACACCCCACTGGACGGGAGCCCCGGAAGTCCGGAGACTGACAGTAGCCGGGATGATGCCGACGCGCAATTCGCATTCGACCCTTTGGTCGGTGGATGCCATGGCGGATCTCAGAGCAAGGATGCTTCGCTCGAGCGAAACAGCGGATCGCTTCAGCTTCGCGAGACTTCGCATGCGCCTGCCGTGGTCGAGGTAGCCAAGCAGGTGGTTGAAATGAAGCGATTGGAGGCTTCCACAGCGGTCGAGCTGGAGCGGCTGAAGCAAAGTGGTGCGACGGAAAGGACGAGGCTTCTGGAGGAGGGCCGGACACAACGGAGTGCTTGTGTCGCAGCCGTGATGAAGCGGGTCATGGAAGAGCACCATCAAACCGAACGACAGAAGATCGAGAGCACGGCGCAAGTGCAGCAGGCTGCTATTGCTGCACGTGTGTCAGAGGCCGAGGCGCAAGCAAACACGCCCGCCCGGCCCATGAGCCATTGGTTGCTCCTGTGGCTATGTTTGGGACAGTCGCGCAGGGTACGGAAGGTGGGGTTCCCCGTTCTGCGTGTTGCCGGCTTTCTATTGGTTCTGCGGGGTATCTGGAGCTCAGGGTTCAAAAGCACGCCGGTCACACTGTTACAGCGAGCGTGGCGGGCGGTCAGTACGTCTCTTCAGCAGCAGCTGCGGGATCAGCTACAGCCGCTACAGCTCTCAGGGCGAGATCGGCAGATGCCTTAGCCTCTTCCGTGCCCCGCTTGGCCCGCCTTGTCTGCCTTGTGAACTTGTGTTTCGCTGCAGGCTCCCGGAGCTACCAGAGCTGCCAAGTTTGGCAAGTGCGAGCCGCACAACCTCAGGCCACACGGCTCTTGAATGCGCTTGAGGGAGATTGAGACAAGCGAATGGAAGCTCTGTCCAGGTCACAATCTGAACACATTTCACAAGGACCGCCGTTCGTTCTCCTGCTGGCGTTTAAGCGGGCAGCGGGCTCAGGAGCTGGAAGACCTGGGTCTCGCAGGCTACTTGGAGGAGCTGCTGAGCTGCAAGTGCACTGCGAGAGCACTGCGAGAGCACTGCACGTGCAAGTGTAAGTAATTTTTTGACGAGTTCAGTTGCAGGATATTGCAGGCTCAAGCTGAGTCGTTTACAGTTAGAGGAACCCCCTTTATTTCTGGGACACAGCGTGGCTCCATCATGGCTGCAACCGCTCTCGGCAGCTGCACGAAGGCACCGGGCTGGACACAAGGCACACGTTCCCTCACCACACACATCGCAGTTGGCAGGTTTCAACGAGACTGCCCAAGCTTCTCCATCAATCCTCGCAAACGTCGTACAGGGCCACCTGGGCCTTCCCCAGTGCACCGATCACGATCAACAACATCCTGGGGTTGGACTATTGGAACAACCTGACCTATGCCACTCCGCGAAGCAGTTTTCTGCAGGGCGATGAAGATGTCTTGAGACTCGCGTGTCCTGTGTCCTTTCCCAAGGTACCGATGATGACTTCAGGAGCCGGTCGCTTGCTCGTCAGCGTCCATGAGATTCTTGAGCCGAAGATGGCATACAGCCGTCCTAGACTCGAAGAGGCGGGGCACAATATGAAAGGTGCCAGCTTGTGGTGTCGTGGGCCCGTGAGTGTGAGAGTTGCCTGCCAGGAGGACTTTGAACTCTTCGTGTGAATCTCGACACGAAAGACTGCATTACGCTCTCGAAATTTGGCCCTAAGGCGTTACAGGGTCAGAGTTCCAGTGCTGAAGCCGTATGAATCGTGCTGACGGTGCGGTTAGTCGGAGTTTAGAAGACAGGTTTGGAAGCCAAGTACATCTATTAGCACCAGAGGCTCCTTGCTTGCTGCACCGGCAGCAGAAGAGGAGGCTTGACAGCCCTTTGCCAACACCGCATGCCTCAGCAGATCTTGTTCGCTTTGTGCCGACATTCCGACCTCGTTGCATCTGTGTACCCTACTCAGCCATTTCGATGCTTGAGCGGGCCGTGCTAATTTAAGCCCAGGTATCACTATGGTACCTGCAGGCTGATAGCATATGTACAGCCAGCATGGCGCAAGTTTCCTCAGAGAGTCCTGGGCTCTCAGTTGCAGCCGAGCACAGATCTCGCTTGTCCCACGCAGTTTTCAAAGCCGGACAGAACCACAGCACTTTTCATCACCAGTCAGCTGTCTGGCGAAGCGCATCGCGCATCCTAGATCGGAGAGTTTCAATGGCAACTTGACACAGGATTCGATCGCCTCACAATTTCAGGCGCTTTTGTGGACGTGCCATGCCATCAGTTGGCGTGACTCTCGGTGCGGTGCAGACACCCAGCGTCTTAGGCAAGCAGCATACTCTTACTCTTACGTTACAAACCGCGTTCCCCACCGGGTGTACAGCACCTTTGCCACAGATGGGGTTTCTGTGGCATACTCCAGGGCCAGCTTGGGAGGCTGCCTGGTTCAACTTCATCCCGCAATCCCGTCAGTTTCAATGTAGCTACAGTTGGCCAGCGCCCGATGATGGAGGGCTGTATTTCCTAATCTTCCAGCGTCCTCCGCAGGGCAGTGAGATGGCTTAGTCGGATGGGATTTGTAAAGAGCTGTGAGACATCGGGCACGCAAACGCCCACTTACAGGTGAGTGCCCGCAGTCCGTTTGGGACGGTCTCACCAGGTTCTTAGTTAGCTTTGCAGTGCGATTTCCGTCAGTGTGCTGTGCGGAGTCCAGCGTGAATCTCACGGCCAGCAAGGGAAGTCAAGTCGTCCCTTTTGCATATGCAACACTGCACGAAGATGACATGGCTTCCCCCTTGGTCATCGCTTTCACCGACAGACTCGGCAGAGGATTTTAGGCTTGAAGAGATGCGACATCCTGTCTGGTGAATGGAGCGAGTGCCTTCGTGGACTTTTTCTTGTACGTGTGTGTTGCAGGACCTTCTGCATCTTGGCTATGTGCCTTGCCGAGCGAGAAGCCTGTTTCAGCGGTCAGATGTACTTGCACCGTCTTGCCGGTCTCTACCCCGGCCGAGGATGGAGAGACACTTCGTGACCTGAAGAGCGATGCAGAGGCAAGGCCGCAAGGTGCCTTACAGAATCGGAAACATGGGTCGAAGATGTGCCGTTTGCAGGTGCAGGAGATGTTGAGTGCCATCAACTGCAGGCCGACCTCTCGCTTCTTGGGTCTTAGGTGGCGGGGATTGCGACAATTTGACTAGCTAGTCCACTGGACCAGGCCGGAGCATCGTGCGGTCTTTCTCAAAGCCTTGCAAAGATGGCAGTGAGCAACTCTGGCATGGCGCGTCATCCGTTGGAAAGGGAGCAAACGTTCGTTTGGTCAGATGCCACAAAAGATTGGCTGGTTTCACATCGAATCGAGTCGCCGCCGGCCCTCAGTGGCCTTAGCGGGACGACGTGTACGCGATTACAAGGCAAACCAGATTTGCAGCTGGGCGGAGCGACGCACCTCTCGATGGACATCGATTATATGATGCTGTCTGGCAGCTGCCTTCGACCCCAGCACTAGCACTGCGCAGACCGAGGCATCGTTGCCCCGCAGCTCGTTCGATGCCAAGTTCTCGGGTTGAGGTTGCAGCGTCGCAGCACGACGGGCGCTCGTAGCTCTGTGCAAGGCTCGTTTCTGCCTGGCGTGGCTCTGTCAGCGAGGCTAGCCGTTTCTGAGCCGAGAAGGGTGCCTTTGTCTCTAGCCAGGCCATGCTTGAGCTTCGGTTATGCGAGGTGCCCGAAGCACCGGACCTCGTTGGTGGCATGCCACGCAGTTGGCAGCGGAAATGCCACGGACGGGGACTCAGAAGCAGAGGTTGCCAGTTATCCTTCGCACTAGTGCTGCAAGTCTTGCCAGGATCTACCTGGCTCTGAGGCACAGGGCTCTCAACATCAGTCCTTTTCGTTTCAAACATTTCCGTCAGCATCAGCCGTATTTGTAGTTCGTGTGTCGGCGCTTGCCCTCCCAGCCGTCGAAGAGTGCACACATGCGTGACGAGAACTCTGGCAAGGCAGCAACCCTGGCGTGGCTCGAAGAGCGGGCCTTGACCAAGGAGGCTGTGGAGATCGGCAGGGGGCTCGTGAGCACTGCGAACAAGCACAGTCAGCCAGCGGATTTAACTGCAGGCACTATGCTGTTTTTGGCACCAGAGCTTGGAACTCAGTTGTCGATTCTGTCAGTCGCTCTTGCAATGACCGCACCCTCATCATGTCAACAGATAGATGAGGTCGAAGAGGTTAGAGACAGCTGAAGTGGTCGACCTGGCCCGGATTGGACTTCGCAGAAACCGTGTTTCATCATCTTGCCATCACTTAGTTCCCCAAGATGCAGACTGCACAAGTCTGCATACAGAGCAATCCCAGCTCGAAGTGTGGCAGGCGCTTGAAATGGCAAAAGACATGGTTGCCTCGGTGCTTGCCTTGGCTTCCAGCTCGTGATGGGGAGGTGCGGTGTCAGCATAATGTCCCATGGCACGGCAGCCTACCCACACTAACGTCCTCCGAGGGTTATTCCCCAAACGGTACGATACTCCCCATGAGGTTCCTATCCCTGATTGTGACGGATCGCGAAACTGTGAGAGGCGAGAAGACCCTTCTGTACCCCGCTGACGGCAAAGGCTTGTCATTGAAGCAACGTGAAAGCAGAAACTCAGCCTTCGCCCTTGTCTTTCTTCACTATCTTGTTTGCAGCTTAACCGACGCGAACGAACTTTCAGACTCGATTCTGTCGCGACTTACTGGTCGAGGGCGGTTGCTAGCTGAACTCGCAGGGAACACGGTTTAGCATTATCTAAATTCAAAAGGATTCTGTTGGGAGCACTTGAGGAACCGTGCGGTGAGGGGTTCCGCCTGTGTGCGGTGGGGGGTCCGCCTGGCTGCTGCTCAAGCATGAGGG